GGGTATACATTGAGTTTATTTACTTATATAAGACCCTACTGTTGCCAGCTGTGGCTGATCTAGTAGCCAGAAATACTTCTTTAAAAATTGTTTTCTGAAAGGGTAAATGTAAACATTTGTCAAAAAGATTTAAACATTAGGCACATCAACATTTTTTTTTCCGGTTGAGTAACAAATCCAGAGCCAGGCCTCCAGTGATATACACCAGAATACTGATTTTCACTGTTTTGTCTCACAAATGTAAAGGAACTGATTTTAGGAATTACAAGCAAATGAAGAGTTGAGTAGTTCTACCTTCTATCTGTTAATAGTTATCAGTGTCTCATCTACTCTGAGCAGCAATCTTTCAGGTAGTAACTTACTTGATATTCTTTACTTCCAATATTGTAGGGTTTCTTTAAATCAACATTTTTTGTTGTCCTTAACTTTCCTCACCAATTTCAGCCCATTATGAGCATTAGAACTGCTGATGCTACTTTTGATCATGCCAATTTTGTATTCATTCGGTATTACTTGGTCATTTTTTCCATTTTCTGTAAATGTATTCTTAAAATCTAATTTCATTAATTACTATACATCCATTTCAATTTCTTTTAACAACTTTTTTCTTTTTTGTTTTATCAGAATTGAAGCAACGTTCAATCTCAATATGTCCAAAACAGAACTTATCTTGCCCCTCCAAATACATCTCTCTTTTTGTCTTCAGTATTTCATTCTTGAGAGTTTCACTTTCCTTCACCAAGCCTGACTTCCTCTTGAGAATTTTAGTCCACAGAATTCTAACTATCCTATCTCCATATCTTTTGAAGTCTGTTCTCTTAAAGTCTAAATGAGTCTAATTTACCCGCTAAAGAGTGAATGTCAGACTATGTCCCAATTTGTTCTTTCCTTATGATAAATTCTAAGAAGAAAACCATTCTTCCTAAACTCTCATCATTTCCATAGCAACTATCAGGTCTTAACTGTTGGTGAGAATCAGATCCAAAATAGAAGTTTCCCCTGACTGGGTCCTCCATCTTTTGAAATTATCACTTTGAAACTATCACTAAGATAAAAGAAGCAATTATTGACCACTCAAGTGTGGATAATTGAAGTTACCATGCCTCCGTACAAGGCTTTTTATGTTTCCTCTTTCTCTCCACATGGTCTATAGCCTATATTACGTACTGATGACACTACTGGTTCTGCTTGTGCTTCCACTGGCCGTTATCTAAATGCTTTTTTCCGTGTGTCCTTCTTTAACCTTTTGGTGGTTCAGTCATTTCAGTCATGTCTGACTCTTCCTGACCCCATTTGGGGTTTCCTTGGCAAAGATATTGGAGCGGTTTGCCATTCCTTCTTGAGCTTATTTTACAGATGAGGAACTGAGGCGAACAGGTTTAAGTGACTTGCCCATAGTCACTCGGCTAGGAAGTGTCTGAGGCCAGATTTTAATTCATAAAAATGAGTCTTCTGATTCCTGGCGCAGCATGCCATCTACTAGCTGCATTCCCCCCACCCCCAACCTAGCCTGCTACTTTTAAATAAGGTATAGGTTTACAGAACCCTACTGCAGGCATAGAACTTGCTTCACACCTTTTGTGCCTCAAAGTGGAAGGGTATAGATAATATTTTGGATGATAAGTTCAAGATCGAAAAAGTTCTTGACAAGCTTGAACATTGTTCCAGATCTAATAAGATGAAATTTAATAAAGGTAAATATAAAAGTCTCACACTTGGGGTCGGTAAAACAACTTTACAAATACAAAATGGGGAGCACAGCTGCATAATAACAGTGTTTATATTGCACTTCAAGGTTTTCAAAGCACTTCATGTGAGTTACCTCATCTGATCCTCCCAACTCTGTGAAGTAGGTACTAATATTAATATCACTTGGCAGATGAGGAAGCTGGGGTTCAGAGAGGTTGTGACCGTCTATGGTTACACAGTTAAGAGTCTAAAACAGAATTTGAACTCAAGTTTTCCTTATTCCAAGGTCAGAATTCTATGTATTATACTACCCAGTTGCCTCACCTGAGAAATACAACATTTCATCCTAAAAAGATCAGGAAATTTTAATGGATTGCTAGCTTAACATGAATCAATAGTGTAACATGGCAACGAAAAAAAATTATACGTGATCTTTGGTTGCACTGTCATTGTATCCGGGGCTCAAAGTCTTAATCTCACCGTACTCTACCCTAGGAGGATTCTGTCTGGAATATTGTGTTCAGTTCTAGGAGCCGTATTTTAGGAAAGACATTGCTAAGATGGAGAGCACCCAAGGCAGGGCATCCATAACGGTGAAAAGTCGTGAGATAATGTCACATGAGAACTGGATGAAGGAGATGGGAATGTTGTCATTGCCAAAGAGAAGACTCTGGGGAAAAACTATGTTATCATTAAGTGTATGAAAGGCATTCCGTGAAATGGGGACTTACTTTGTTGTACTTCCCCCTCAAAGGCAGGACTAGGGAAAATGGAAATTTCAGAGAATTTAAGGAGAAATGTTCCTAACAACTGGAACTTTGAAAAATAAAATAAAATAAACTTCCGGGGGGGGGGGGGGGGGGGGGGGGCCGAGGGGTCATTCTAGCTAGAGGTCTTCATATATAGGATCACTGGATCAAAAATTTAGAGATAGAAAGAATCTTTGAAGTCACTTAGTCCAATCACTTGGTTTTACAGGTCCAGAGAAACGAAATTACTTGCTCAGGGTCACAAGGTTCAAGGCAAAAGCTCTAAGGATTCAGACTCAGGTTCTCTGATTCCAAATCCAGTGTTATTTACAGTATATCACTCTGCCTTTCAGCTGGCTGAATGCCTGAAGCAGCATTTTTCCTAGTGACGTTTCGAGGTGTAATATGGAATAAGGCAGTACATAGGAACACACCTTTCTTTAACTTTTCCCAATGTTTTCTATCACACTCACCCCCTCTAACTTTAATTTTTAGGCTTGAGAGCACACTCAGTTATCTGAATTTGAGCTTGTGGTAGGGCTTGAGAAGATATTCTAGCATGTAGGCTAAAAATAGAAATAAAACTATTTTCACCATGTTTTAATAGTTTTGGCTGCCTTTTACAATCATAATTTAAGAAATGTTCATCAGTTCATTAACCGCTTTTTATTATGTCTTCTTATGTGGCTGAGAGCATACCATCCATAACGGCAGTAATTATCAAGGGGGGAAGAAGAAATGATTCATAAAAACATTAGAGCCTTGGGGTATACAGTATTCTACCATGCTCTTTACCCACACAGTATGGTGCTAGACTTCCATTTACTACAGTGACATATATTGATCATTGCACCAATGCCTGTAAAAACTGGTTATCATGTCTTATTCTAAGAGCTGAATTAGTCATTTTCAACAACTCCAGATTCAAAGGAACTGCAGGTAGTGAAGTGTGCAGAACCAAAAAACCAGTATACACATAAAGCAAAAGAAGGGTAACATGAAGCTAAAGGCTATGTAATTATAACAAACTATATTTGCCCAGAGAAGAGATGAGTTAATATATAAAATACTGGCTCTAGAGCTAGAAGCTCTGCATTCAAATCTCACCTCTGACATTTGCTTTGCAAACTTAGAAAGTCTCAACCTCTCTGGGACTGTTTTTTCCATCAGTCCAATGAAGTGGTTGAACTAAATGGCCTCTTAAGACCCTCAGGCTTCCGATCTATGATACTTTATCATTCTATCACTTCTTTCTTTTCGTTGGAAAGGCAGAGAAGAATGTTACATATTCTATTATATGCCGTCCCTGTGTAGGTTGGTTTTGCTGTTGTTTAAATAGTCTTTCTTTGGTTTTAGGGAATGCCTGGGGTGGGGAAAGGAATATACTGAAATGATTCTGATATAAAAAAAAAAAGTTTCAATAAAATGTTAAAAATAAACCTAAATATTTGTTGACTTTTTTTTTTTTAATATAAAAACGTCTCTGCAAGGATGGAGTTTTCTTTTCAATTACTTCAGATCACTTTCACCTCCAAGCTTCCACTTTAAATCCAACTTCCACTTTAAATCAGAGTTCCAAAATTACCGGTAAAAGGATCTGTTCAACGATCTGAAGTGAATTTGGGGACTGCTGACTCTTACAGACACGTCTAGACAGACCCATGTGGACCCACATAACCTACATTCACAAAATAAGAAAGCACACGCTCCTCACAACCCCCAGGCCAAATAAATATAGTAATGAGTATATTTCAACATAATTAGTTTCCTTCATGATCCTTTTATTTAATGAATTTATAATAGCATTTATATAGTGCTTTAGGGCGTGAATCTCGCCTGATCCTCACAACGACACTACAGACCCTTATTATCCCCATTTTACGGATGAGAAGACTGAGGCAGAGGTTAACTTGTCCAGGGCCCCACAGCTATTGTCTGTACGTCATTCTGGAAAGAAGTCCCTAAAATCTGCTCCCCGTTAATGCTGGTCCCTATTTCCAATTTACCATGTCAATAGCTTGTTACTGTTACGCGTATATGACGTCTCCCCCATTAGACTGTAAGCTCCTAGAGAGCAGGGGCTATCTTTAGTCTTTTCTCCACATCCTGGCGCTCACTACAGAGGCTGCCACATAGTAGGGGCTTAATAACATGCTTTTGCCTGGACCCTCCTCCCTTTTATTTCCCTAACTCCGTCTCCTAATAGCCTCCGTGACTTTTTGTCTTGGAGAGTATTTCCTGGGTCACTACACCCCAGCCCAGAGGCCTGGCCACAGGTAACAGGAGAAGGCTCCAGAAAGCACTTATGTGGAAGCACATCCAGCACCAGTTACTGAAGCGCCAGCAACACCGCCCCCGCTTCCTGTCCCGTCGTCACTTCCGCCCGCCGTCTCCTAGCAACCGGAGGCCGCTATATTTAACCCCAACCGCCGCGGACCGACCTGAACTATCAGAGCAGCCCTGCCCGCCTTCCGCCCGCCCGCCCGTCCGCAACGCCTCATCGACAGCCGGCCCGCACCCGCTCTCCATCCTTCCCTGAGTGTCCCGAACCAAAGGGTTTCCCTAAGGCCTGAGAGGGGAGGGGAAAACCGCGCGGCTGAGGCCGCCGCCTTTCTCGGCCTACGCCGCTGTCGTCACTTCCTCCCTTCGTCTCCTAGCAACCGCGGCCCGCTTGGGTCGACTCTGACTGTGGAAGCCTTAGAACGGAACTGATCTTGCAGTCGGGCCGCTAGCGATGGTAAATCCGCAGTTTGGCCGCGTTCTTACCCTTCCTTCCCTCCCTGTCTCCGGGAATGGTCCTCTAGGGCCGCTGGAGTTGCAGCGGCCGCAGGACCGGCGTCCAGACCACTAAAGGAGGGTGGGGAGAGGGAGAAGAGGGGGGAGGAGGAGGCAAACTCCAGGTGGGGAAGGGGAAAGAGAGTCAGGACACATCCTCCGGGTTCCCTCTCCTCCCTGCCTTCTTCAACTCTCCCACAGAGTATCCATCCTCCGCAGGACCTAGAACCATAGCATCCTTTAATGTCAGAGCTGGAAGAGAACTTAGTCCAACCAAGACAACACGTAGTCCGGTCCTGTCATGTGACGGAGAAGAAAACTGAAGCGCAGACAGGCGGAGAGCTGGCCCCGGGTCCTCCATAATAATAATAATAATAAGTAGCAGAGCAAGGATTTGAACCCAGGTTAAAACTAAGGTGTCTCTCCTCTCCCCACCCCCCCCCCCCCCCCCCTCCCCCCCCCCCCCCCCTCCCTCTCTGTCCCTCTGTCTGTCCCCCCCCCCCCCCGTACATTTCTGTCTTTTCTGTTTCTCTGTCTCTTCTCTTTATCTCTGTATTTTGTCACTGTCTTTGTGTCTCTGTGTCTCTTTCTCACCCTCCCTCTACCTTTCCCTCTCCTTCTCTTCCCCCTCCCCTTCACATCTAGCATTATGTGATTTACTAAATTGTATCCCCACTGAACATATAAGGAAGTTAAGGCTGAATGAGGTTAAGCACAAGAATGAATTGTTTTATTGGGTTTTTTTTTTCCTGCCTTATAATAACTCACATTCTATCGGGTTTTAAAGTGTAGAAATTGCTCTTCTTGTAACAATTAGATTGTAAGCTCCTTGAAGGCAGGAGTTATTTTCTCCTTTCTTTATATCTCCAGTGCTTAGGACTGTGCCTGGAGCATGGTAAGCTTGTTGACTAGATAACCAAGGTGGTAGGCAAGCAGTGTTAATATTATTTCCATCTGACAGGTGAGGAGATAATAGTAAGAGCAGTGAATCACAACAGCTTGTCAGTGTTAGAGCAGAGATTTGAAACTGGTATCCTGACTCCAGAGTGATATGCTGCTCTCTGTCGCCCAAAGGGGACTTTTAAAAAGTCATTCTACACAGTATCATGGGATAAAATTCCACTAAGGAGCAGGCCAACCACCTTGCCTTTCAAGGACAGAGTTATGTTTTAACTAAAAGTTTTGTATGCCAGCCCTTCAGTGCTAGTTTAAACAAACAAACAAAAAAAATCACCCTACATGCCCATGCAAATTAATGCTGTTTAAAAAATTAATTCAGTATTCAGCTTCAAAAATTTAGATCCTTGTGGGGAAATGTTTTTATTTAGAAGATGAATTTTCTCTACCTGTTTAAAAGTAAAATCCATAGCTGTCTATATGCTGCAAACTAGCAAGCTACTTCAAAATGTGTCATGGTGTTTGAGCATTTCTTATGTAATGGCATATGTGAAAGATCTATCTAAATCATGCCAGAGTACACAAATGTGAGGAATCATTATTGTAATGTTTTTTTTAAGTCTGAAATGTCATTTCGTAATGTGAACTATGACCTGTGTTCAGTAAGATCATGCTGTAGGACCAGTAAACTCTTCTGAATCAATAACTATGCAAATATTTATCCAGCTTGGGGAGTTAGATTTCTTAACAGAGTGTTTATTATTTAGATTAAAGAAGAAAGAGAATGTATACATTCCAAGCATTTTTCTGTTCATTAAGATTTTCATGCATGATAAAAAGTCATTTTGGTTAATTAACTTTCTATGGTATATATTTCATCTCTTACAGGCAGAGGTTGAGGAAACTCTAAAGAGGATTCAGAACCATAAAGGGGTTATTGGAACAATGGTTGTTAATGCTGAAGGTAAATATTATCAGCTTACTTTCTTAGTATAGGTAAAGTACATCAGAGGCATTGTACATTGTGGCAAGCCTTAAGACAAAAACATCATGTACTTTGAAATTTAAAGTTTGTTTTGTGTATTTTAGATTTTAGATTTGTATTTCCCTAAGACATCCCAACTAAACTAATTATTAACACTTTAGTGATTTATTGTTCCCATCTTTTTTTAAAAATCTCCATTATTTAATGAGGGAAGAAATATATTGCTTAATTTTAAGAGAAAAGCATTATGTTTCTTATTTTAAAGTGTGAGAACTTTTCATTTTGTGAATCAGTCAAGCAAGGCTATAGATTAGGCATATATAGACTTCCTGAATTTCTCTATTGAATCAATCAATCACCCTTACCCAATTAATTTAGACATAAAAAGCCCAAACTAGAAGCAGCAAAGGTGGGTAGGGTTAAGGAGTGATCCCAGAGACCTCTGGTCCTGGAGCAAGGAATCTGTCATCTAAAAGCAATCCTGAAGCAGCTACTGGAATGTTTCTGCTGGAATCTCCTTTCAAATACTTAGACCCAGAAGTATATCTAATTCTTTCAATCAATCCCAATACGTTTCCTGCGTTAAGACCTAGTTTATACCTTTGATTGATTAATTCAGTAGTGTTCTGGGCTTCTACAGCCACATTAATTGGGGTGATTGATTCACTTGTCCACCCCTAGTCCACGCTAGTCTCATTGAGAAGTCTAGGTGACGTCTATCCTTATTTATGTATTTTAAAGATGCGGGAATCATTTTAATAGCACTTAGTATAATGGGCATAGCATAAGAAGGACTTTTCAACTAAAATTTGCATTTTGATCTTTGCCCTTTTATATCTGTCTCTATACCTATCATTTGAGGAGCCTGTGTGATGTTTTATTTGACACCTCTTTACCAGTTATATAGATCATAGCTTTCTGACAATTCCTGTTAATTTTACTGAAGATTTTTAATGGTCAAGAGGTACCAAGACTCTCAGACCATCTAGTTAGAATAAAATCTGGTTACTCCAGATAATTTATGAGATCATCACAGAATTAGCACATAGGAAATTGAGTGATTGAGCATAAGATTTTATATCTAGTCATTCTAACATGGAAAACCAAATATCTATCAAGGCCCTGCTGTGTTTATAGTGTGATTGTCCTGGATGCCATGAAGCATAAGAAGTATGGTACCCGTTTTCCAAGAACAGAATTTAGTTGAGGTGAAAAGATAGCTAAAAAGTGAATAATAGTGCCAGGCAGCGAACCATAACTGGCCAAATCAATAAGCATTGTGTGAAATTTAGATGAAGGCGAGATCACTGCCAGCCAAAGTAGTTAGAGGAGTAGAATTTGAGGTGCACCTTGAAGTTTAGGTCGATGAGATTTTATATAAACACCACTGACTTCCATAGCTCCTATTGTATCTTGTTTGGAAAGAACATCTACAATAGATACTCTGTATCCTTCTTAGACAATATAATAATCATTACCAGGAATCATTAGACATTCCTAAAATTTGTGACACTTAAATTTAAAGCATTACTTGAAATCTAGATCTATATTTTTCCCAAATTGAAAAAAATGATTTTATTTTATGATAAGATTGTGAATGTTCTGGATGCCTAATATTTGTATTAAAAACAGATCCCATTTTAACAATAGGCAAGATAGTGGTATATGTTTTGTGACAAGAATATTAGAAGAAATAAAATATTCAAATTGTTATAATAGCCAGGTTAACTATAGCCAAAGTGTAAATAACATGATAATTTATTAGAGTATTCAGAAGTCAAATACACTTAACAATGGAAATGGACCATTTAAAAAGCATTATCTTTCATTCTTTCAAGGGCCTTTTCGGGTCATATAAAATCATAAACTTAGAACTTCAGAAGACTTTAGAGGCCATATAGTCCAACACACTTACTGTACATGAGGAAACTGATGCTCAGAGTGGTTTAGTGACTTGCCTTGAGTCATACAGCTAGTACATTTCAGAAGTGAGATTTGAATCTAAGTCTTCATACCTCCAAGTCTAGTGTTCTATGTGCTATTCCCACTAATATTTTTCCAGATTTTAATGTTACCAATAGCTCTTGATCTTGGTCATTCCTTTAAAAGATATCCAACAAGAATTTTCCCATGTAAAGATATTCCTATTTCTTTTTGTATCATATTCAATGTAATATTTGATTTAGACTCATTCAAAGTTAGAATTCTATATTAATGACAGCATAGTGGATTTATCATTTTAGCCATTTGAGAAGCAGTATAGGTATTCCATAGATCACATAGTCTGCTTCACCAGTTTATAACATCTATAACCTTTTGTGCCCCAAAGTCTTACTCAGATGCCCCATGGCATGTAAGTAAACCTAAATTATCAAAAGCTATACTAGCAGAGCTCTGACAGGTTCTCCCTTTTAGAACGACTTCAGGTATGGTTCTGGGAACAGACTGATTCTGCTTTCCGTGGACCTGCATAGCTAATTGTGGTGAAGCTCATGACCAGGAGGCTGACAACTCAATGATGGTTTTTAGACCATGACAATCCATGAAACCACAAACTAAACAAAATAATTCTTAGTCCTATGTGACTGCCTTCCGCTGCTGCTGTCACTGCTTTTAGAATGGTGGAAAATTGGGCAGAGGTAAATCGTTTTCAAACTCATTGAAACATTGACTTAACTGTTTGTACTCTAAATGTAGGCTCCTTGTTTAGTGCCTCACAAGTAGATATACTTGCTGGAGGGTCTGAATCCAATCAATCTCGACATTCTCACTATAACAAAACCAGAAGGCAAATATAAATTGCAGCTAAATAAAAAGTTGGCTCATAGGTTCTCCTCAGGAAGGTAAGGAAAGGAGCCAATAGAATTGGTTTTATCATGTGTCCAAAAGCAACATAGGATATTTGGTCATTTATATTGCCCTGATCGTGCATGATAAGTATTTATTTGCAAAATAACCACTCTGAAAATTATTACAGTTCATATGCCTACATCCACTGTGGAGAATGAAAAGATAACAAAATTATGTAAAGAACTAGACCATTTCCTCTAAGTTTCCTTCAATAACCGGTGATTTCAATGCATAGATAGTAAGCACAAAACATACATATATTGGAAAGTGTGGTTCAGGAATAAGAAACAAAAGAGGTCAAAGACTTATAGGCTACACAGAAACATCACACCTATAATTCATGAATACTTTCTAAGAAAAGAATTGGGAGATAAGGGACTTGCTGAGCGTTAATTAACAACCCCAAAATGAAATTGATTATATCTTAATGGACAGAATGGCTCATCACTGATGTGAGAGTCTTCCTGAATCAGCTTTGTCTACATTCAGAGCACCAACTTGTGAGAGCAAAGATAAAGATGAATACAAAACTAGAGGAGATAATGGAAATGAGAAAGTTATGACAAAATTAAAACAATGCCAACTTTATCATTTTAAACAAGTTACTTTTTCTAAAAATGGGAAATAGATGGAGAAAAAGACATTGACATTGATAATAGCAATTCCATACAAGTGTTTAACTGATGTTAGTGAACAGCCATAGGGAAGAGACTAGAAGAACTTAAAAATTGCCCTAGTCAGTAAACACCATCTATGTGCCAAGAAGAGAGTTGGCAGCCTGGGACAACAGTTCTTTGAGGATGCAAAGTCATTTGAATATCTTAGAGACAAGAATGATAGAAGTTTATAAGTAGCATCTCCTCATAAAATGGGGACAAACAGTGAAAGGGAAAAGAAGTTTGAAGAAGACTTGGTGAGAGTCCCATTTGAGCATTTAAGAATGAAGCTGGATGGGGGATGACAGAGAAGACACAGATGCAAAAGCATTAAAGACTTTGATAGCCATCTCTTAAAAGTTAAGAGAGCAGAACTACCACCTTCACACTCTAACATCACAGTCTCAAGTGTGCTTCTTGAAGAAGGGGAGATGTTCTTTGACGAAGACGGACCAAAGAAGCTGGATTACACCAAGTACATATATACGTAGGAACACTTTGCTGGTGGTGCCAAACTTTTGAGGGCCTGAAGGGATTAATTTTTAAGGTATCAGAAAAATGACTAGCTACTGAAATTGTAGGAAAAATATAATTATTTTAAAAAGGCAACCAAGAGAACATGGCTCACTACCTACTCATACCAACTTTCTACATAAAATTTTTAAAACATATATGCATTGAGGCCTTCTGAAGGTATAAAAAGGTAACAGACTGATTTTTACAAGTATCATTTCCTAGTAAACTACATTTTTACCATCATATAATTGACTGAAAGATGTAGAAAATGTAAGATCCTACTGTACTCCTTTGTTGACTTTTTTAAAAGCTTTTGATCTAGTAAAGCAAAATACTACTTAAAAGGATCTCCTCTAACAAAATGTCCTACCATGCATCTATCAAAATTGTATAGTATTCCATGAAAGAGATGTTTCCAAACTTTGTCTTTGCTCACGGGGCAGATATTCAGGAGCATTGAAAAGAGTCATCTACTTTTCCCATTAGCCCAGGTAGGCTTGATAATAGTAAGTGCTTAAGAGATGCTTGTTGACTGACTTAGTGACTTATCCAGCTTCCCAAGTCCACCAGTGACCTTGACCTTGATGCTGAAGGAGCTTGTGAGGAGGAGAAAGCCCTAAACAATATGGAAAACATACTAGAGGAGCCACAGGGAATGGCATCTGAGAAAAACCATCCTAGACTGTAAGAGGTCAAGCCAACCAGTAGAACAATAATCCTGATCAGAGAACAGCAAGGCAAGTCTGAGTGTCACCCACGGACTGGATAAGATAGGCACTACTGGATCAAGTGCTACCTGGACAGAAAAAAGTGACCCCAATGTCTTGTGGGCTAATTCAGTCTATCTCCAATATGTCCCTGTTCCCACTGTATGGGAAAGAGGGTATCTGGATGAGATTAGAGAGAATCTAAATGGAGGGACTGGTATTAGACCAGATGAGCATCATAGAAACATTC